CGGGGCTGAGCCCGGCTCCCCCGAGCCCTGCAGCTGCCCCAGGCAAGGCTGAGCCCGGGTCCCCGCCCCCTGCTCCCACGCAGCTGGGGCTTTTTGGGGTGTTTTTTTTTTGCTGCCCGCTTGCTCTGGGGAGGTGGGAACGCGCCGTGGGGTGTGCAGAAAGGATGCTCTTGACAGGCTGGGCGCTTGGCTTGCTGCGCTTCGCCCTTCCTTCTTGTGAACGGGCAAACAAAACCACGTTTAAACAGAATAGCAGATAATTTGGGGGGGGGGCAGCGGTTGCCACAGCAGTGCAAGTGGGATACGAGTTCCTGCTGCGACTCCAACCTGTCAACCCTCGCTCTGTTTTTCGGGGTCTGGCCTGATGTTAATCAGAAGCTGCTGAGCGATGTGATTGAATGTGAGGAGGAAAAACCCATCAGCAAGGAACATGATGGTTTTTCCTTTACCTGCGGGTAAAGGAAATGGCGCGGTGCACCAGACGGGGCAGGTGCGGTCTCTGGCACTTCTCTGGTGTCCCTCTGTTTTGTCCCTGTTCTCCGCATGTGCACTAGGAACAACCCAGCCTGGTCTCTGGTGCAATGTTGTGGCTGCAGGGATGCTCACTGCAGCCCTTCTCATCCCGCCCCCGGCTAGAGTGCCCTGTCACTTTATGCTGAAGGAAAACTTGCCCATGCTTAACACATCAGAAAAAAATGTTTAAGAACAGTTTATCCACGTGAAAACAAGCTCCCAGCAATCCTGCCAAGATCAATGTGAACTGCTGAGCTGGTGCTCTGCTGTGAGCCACAGCTGGGTCTCACACACCTGCCTTTTCCAGGCATGTCCCCAAGGACACCTTGGGGAGAGGGAGCAAACAAGCCCTCCCTTCCCATGCTCTTCTCCCTGCCCTCTCCAGGGACATGTCCCACCTGCCTGCCCACGTGCTTGCTCCTCACCTAACTAGAAAAGAAAACCACGGGCTTTCTCCAGGTCAAACAAGATCCACACATGTATGAAACCTGGGGAGGGATTTAATCAATGCAGGTTTGTGCATGGGGCCCTGCGATGTTCAGCTTGGTCACCGCCCTTAGGCCAGCCACCGGGACATCGTACATGGGGAGCGGGGTATGGGTAGTCCGTTCTCCTTGCATGAAATCCCAGGGAGGAACATGGTCCTGATCCAGGGTGAGTGCTGCAAAGAGGGCGTCTCCTCTTCCTAGCGCCAGTCTGAGGGTCTGCTCCGGCGCAGGGCTGGGGGTCACTGAAAGCGCTGCTCCACCAGCAGTGACCTGGCTGCTCCAGGTATCACCTGCATGGCTCTTCCTTGCCTAGCCTCTCCTGGGGCACCGAGTGAGGTTTTTCAGGGTGCTCTACTCATTAATGAGTTCTTATGAATTCCCCACTGCCTGGCCCAGCACGGCAGGAGGAGTCACTCTCCCAGCGTGGGAGGGATGCTGAGGTCTCTGAGCTCTCTCCTTTGGTCTGCATCATCTGTGTCGCTTCTCATCCTGCCCTGCTGTTAGCTCTCCTCAGAGGTATTGTTGTGGGAAGTGGAGCAGTTCTCCGGTTCCTTCGTGATCCCCGCTGAGCACTGCTCCACTTTGACTTTCTTTCTTCCTCTCATTGACTTCTTAGCTCCTGTAAACAGCAAGATGACCGCAGGAGTTAACCACAGAGCAATGGATTTACACGTATGAGGTCAGCGTGGCCTCATCCCAAAATAGGGACAGCACAGGAGAAAGCAAAGCTCAGCAAAGGAAAGATGAAGAGAAACCCCTCTCACATGTAAGATGCACGGGTACCTGGGGGAGGCTGTTGTGACCCTGGAAACAGAAACGACATGTGAAGCAGAAATAGGCAGAGAACCGTCCTGGTGCAGGAGTGTACCCGAGAGGGTACCCAGACCAGCGGGATACATTTCTTGGATTTCTCCCCCTTCCAGTGTGGTACATGGCACACATCACATGCTGAGAGAAGGGTTATGCCTCTCCATCACCCCATTCCTGCCACAACTGCATCCAGCCCTCACTCAGGACATCCCCATCCAGTTCCGGAGGGTCGGATGGTGTCTGCCCTGGGGAGCGCAGGGCAGCTTCCTCCCCATTGCTCGGAGCAGCTGGTTTTGTAGAGCAAATCCTCTTCTCACTCAGCTGCAGTGGTGTCCTCTGAGTGAGCAGGCACCTCTGAAAGCCGGGCGCAGAGCAAGGGGCAGCGCTTGCTTGTTAAACAAGCTCCCTTCATGCTTAAGCAACAGCCCTCTCTACATTTGTAATTGGGTCAACATCTCCCTGTCTTTACCGACAGTACAAAGGGGGTTATAGTAGCGGGGTATTTCTGACAGAGCACTTTTTAAGACTTGACAGGCACACTGCCTTATCCTTGCCCTTATCAGGAACAGTTTTCTGCTTATTCACCTGTAGGAAACACGGGTACAACACATTCCTCTGTCAGCAGGGAAAACTTCCACAGCCGCTCTGGAAGATCAACAGAGTTGGCAGAAACCTTTCTCTGAATGTCAATAACTCACCCCTGGGAATTTGGCCTTCTCCAATCACCACCTCCCTGACCGGCTAAGCAAACATGAGGGACTCAGCCCTGTTAGCTTAGGTGCTTGGGAGTGCTCTCCTGGCCACCCTGCCCAGGCTCCCCTGGCTATCCATTAGCAGGGGCTCCTCTGGCTGGAGACACAACCGTTGCCAAAACACGGCACAGCATTGTCTTATCGCAGGGAAACGAAAGACTCCACTGTATCACCTTGGGCAAACATTTGTTTGTAGCATGGCATGCACTCGGCGGAGGAGCACCCTCCTCTCCGCTGCAGGGAAGGCAGCTGGTACCCTCCAGCGTTTCTCACAGGAGCCCCTCGCGCAGCAGCAGAAGTTGCAGCCCTGAGTTGATGCCATGAGGAAATCCTCCTCCCTACCTTTTGTCCAGGGATCCTGTCCTCTTTTTCTCTTCTTCTGCAGCGCATGAGCTTTGTCTTTGGTGCAAAAATATTTCCCATCAGCCTGGGCTTCTTGTAGGATATCATCTTCATATGGGGCAGACACCTACACCAATGAGAAGAGCAGTCAGTCCACAAACTACCCTGGCTTTCCCAGGGAGCTGATGGCCTGGCTGCATTGCTGGGGACCTTTGTGACCATTGCTATGGAGTGGTGACAAATGTTGTTGTTCATAAACCCTCTTGACTAGCTGGAAAGAGTGATACCTCTATCCCTCAGCAACAAATTGGGTAACAGTGTGGGAATGGGGTCTTGCACCTCATGTAGGAAGAGCCATCACCTTCTGGAGTGAGCTCGGGCAGGGACAACCCATCTTAGACCTCTTGGACCCGACAGCCTAAGCTAATGGGCTGAGGAGAGCAAACCAACCTCACTGTCCGTCGTGTCTGGCTCATCGGATTCCTGCTTCCCAGACTCGGCATCATCGTCATCTAAGGAAACACAAAAGGAAGGGTTTTTTGGCTGGCAGGAGGCCCAACAAGCTCATGAGCAGATGCAGAGCCACCGGCCCAGGCTCTTGAGAGCCACTGAGGCAGAAAACAGACTCAGCAATAAACTGTGTTGCAAAGCAGAGGCACTGCGAGCTACGTGGCTTGAAATGAATGTTCATGGGAGATCCAACATGATTCTGTTGGGGAACCAGCTCCCAATAAAGCTGTATCCATAGGACTTTGCTACCCCAAGGTCGCAAGCGCTGCCCCGAAGTCTGTGACCACGTGGAGGTTGGGAAGCTGAGGCGTATTTAAAACCCCAGACTGCACCTTCCCGTTTGAGACCCAGGTGGGAAGAAGCGTGTCTGGGTAAAGAGGCCAAAATGGACAATCCTCAAGTTTGCTGCTGGTGCCGGTCGGTGGCTCTCGGCAGGGAACGTGTGCCGAGGAGCAGAGGAAAGAAAGACAGGGGAGCTGCTTCCCTGCCCAGCAAAAGGATTTTGCTGCACACAGGCCCCGAGGCTACACAACCCCAGACACGTACCTGCACGCACCAGACACGCACCTGACCTTTGCACAGAGTGAAGCTGCCCGGGCCAGGGACTGAGCCTTGCTGGCGGTGGCATCATCACCCTGTCTGCACCCACAGCAGCACACCCGTGCTGGCTGTGGAGGGGCAGAAAGGGCTGAGGACAGAGCTGTGCCCCTTCCAAGGGGCAGGGGCATTCCAGGACCTCAATACCTTGCTCCTGACACCCAGGTCTAGCCGGGGTGGGACTGTCGGCAGGGCAGCCTCCCTTGCTGACCTGGCCCAGGTGGGAGAGCAGACAGTGCTGCTTTCAGGCACTCCTAGAGCCCCTGTAGTCTGTTCCCATCCTCACTTTATCCTTCTGCGGGTTAAGGTTCACCAGAAAGTGCAGAAGTATTCGTGTATTGTTTCCTGAGCTTTGTGTCAACCTTAAGGTGAGAACTGAAGAAAGTCCTGTATTCCCACACCCAGAAGGTAATCAGCTGAAATTCTTCTGCTATGATGGTATCTCCTTAGCATGTAAATCACAGAGGACTCCCTCTTTTTTTTTTTTTTCCACCGTGCAAAATCCTGCTCCGGAGAGTGTTCCCAAACCGCTCTGACACGCCCAGACCAACTAATCCAGGCGAGCTCAACTTTCTGGCCAAGCCAGTAAGGCTGGTACCGAGCAGCACTCGGCAGACGTGCTTTCCGCTCCGCTCCCCATGGCTGCTGCCTCCCACCCGCCGGGCAAACCTGGTGCCCACATCCTGTGGCAGTCGGGCAGGGAAAAAGCACCGCGTGTCCCCAGACTAAGGGCACTGCTGGTTTTGGGGATGGAAAGGGCTCTTACGGGGGGTGAAGCAGGGAAAGGGAGGAGAGCATCCTGTCCTACCTGCTGTAGGTACCAGCATCCCTCGCTCCGCGCTCAGCCCTACGTGCTGTGCCAGCATAGGGCACGCTTTGGAGCAGGGGGGCACAGACAGGGATGGTTTTTCCAGTGCTAGTCCTGCAAACCTCTTGTATTTTTCCCCATCTCTGCTGGGGTGACTTCTGAGCTTCTGCTTCCCTGAGAGGGCTGGGTAATGCTGGAGCAGCAACATTGTCTTGTCGTGGCTCACTGTGGAGCAGGTTTTGCCAATGGGTCGGTGCTAAACTGACCTCTTTAGCTCCTGGAGAACTCCGTGCCCCACAGCAGCTGAGTGCAGGGTGCAGGGTGCTCTGCAGTGTGTTAGGGAGGAGAGCATCCTGTCCTACCTGCTGTAGGTACCAGCATCCCTCGCTCTGCACTCAGCCCTACGTGCTGTGCCAGCATAGGGCACGCTTTGGAGCAGGGGGGCACAGACAGGGATGGTTTTTCCAGTGCTAGTCCTGCAAACCTCTTGTATTTTTCCCCATCTCTGCTGGGGTGACTTCTGAGCTTCTGCTTCCCTGAGAGGGCTGGGTAATGCTGGAGCAGCAACATTGTCTTGTCGTGGCTCACTGTGGAGCAGGTTTTGCCAATGGGTCGGTGCTAAACTGACCTCTTTAGCTCCTGGAGAACTCCGTGCCCCACAGCAGCTGAGTGCAGGGTGCTCTGCAGTGTGTGCAAGGGCACCCCACGGGTCTGTGCTGGGCAGAGATACTGGGCTTTTCTCCAGAACAGCCAGGGTTATTTTCTCCCTATAGATACTGAGCCTGAATTTTGGGCATCCCTAGGGTTGAAAATTGAGCCCTCAAGGACAGAAATGTGAAACCCAAAGTTCCCCCCATAGCCCAAAAGAGCTGGGAGCCAGGAGCACCTGGGTCCCTGGAAGGGCGTCCTGTGCTGATTAGCTACTGCTTTGGTCAGGGGGGATTGCATGTGCACGTGGAGCCCAGCACAGAGAGCTCCTGGCTATAAGACACCTTCACCAAAATGTACTTTTTACTCTTGCTTTCTCAAATGTCACATTTGCCTGGGGCTTTTTACCTGCTTCTTCCTTCTGTGCACTGACAGCCAGTCTCACCCCAGTCTCCGGAAGGGCCTCTGGGTCGCTCGGCGTGGAGTTGTTTGTCAGATGTGCCCGTGAGAGTGCGAGCTGTAGGATACAGGGAGCTCAAATGCTGCCTTCGCCAGGCAGGAGGAAAGGGCCGTCCTCAGCCCCTACGCGATGACTGTGACACCCGTGGGGACGAGCATCGCAGAGGTGTTTCTATGCACTGGTGGTGTGTTGCAGGGGAGCCCAGCACGCCTCCTGCACCAACCTGCAGGACAGGGCACAGGCACTGCCTGTCCTTGGACCTGGATGGAAACCTCGCGGGCACCGGAGGGGAGGGGAGGTGGGGAACGATAGCCAGGGCTGAGCGGCTGTGGCTTTGCCATGTGCAAATATGTCCCCGTTGGCTTCACACACAGCAAAGCCATCCTCCCACAGGACATTAATGGTGGTTGTAACAGTGCCAGCACTAGTGCTGGACACCCTGGGGAGGGGAAGGGGCCACGGTTGATGCCAACATGAGCTGTACTCACCACAGCTGCATCCTCCTCCTCCTCCCCCTCGACAGCACCAGGCAGTGCCCGGGTGGCATTGGGCCAGCGGTAGGGGAAGTGCGAGTTGTCCCGCTCTGCCCCGTGTCTCCCGCAGGGGCCACGGGCTGTCAGCACAGCCGGGCTTTCCCCGGGGCTCAGCCGTGGGCTGCTGGCCCCCCGTGGCTCCCGCCGGTTGTGCCAGCCTGTTTCCCTGCCACGGCTGGAGTCTGACAGATCCAGCGGCGTGTCTACACCATCGTCCCTTGCCGCCTTCGCCTTTTCTTGGAGCTCGGAGCTGTCCCGGCTCAGCCAAAGCTCTTTCTCTTCCTTCCCATCTGCGGCATCCTCCAGGAAGGACCTTTCTTCCTTGTATCCTGGTGTGATGCTTGGCCATGGGGAGAGGGGCCGCTCCTCGGGCGCGAGCTTTGGGTCTCCATCTGCCTGATGGCCTGGCTGGCACTGCTGCATGAGGAAATGCTGCAGTCGCTCCCTGTGCTTGAGGAGGTGCAGCTTCTCCTCCAGGTGCTGATCCCTCACGTACACCATGGTGGCAGGGAGCTTTAGTAAGGCTGCACGATCTTCCCAGCCATCACGCGACCGCATCCTGCCATCGGTGTCTTTGGCCCTGAGCAAATGGCTGGAGAAGCTGCCGCCGTCCTGGTCGGCCGAGGCACAGTTGCTCGCCAGCCCCAGCTGGTGTAGGGAAAGGTGCTTGTGGAGGAGGCAGAGCTGCTCTCTCCGGGCGGTCAGTTTTAGGTTTTCGTAGGACGGAGCAACCTTGGGGGAGTCTGGTTTGCTTGCTGTTAAATAACTAAAAGAAGCAGGAAAAAAATAATCATGTTAATTAGAGAATTTTCATGTGATTTCCCAACTCCTGCAGGTGATGTGCGTGGTCTCTTCCTGCTCTTTCTGTGCCCTGTTGCCTGCTGCAGCTCTTGGCCCGTGCATCACGCTTGCCTTCGGGTGCTGTGCTGGGGAGGAGGATCCCGGTGGCTGTGGGGGTCAGGCAGCCAGCAGCGGGTCTCTGCACTGCGCACACCGCAGGAAGCCATCACCATCCCACCATCCAACAGCGCTCTCCTGTCCCTGGGCCACGGCAGCTCCAGGCAGGGGGTTGAGCGAGTGGAGGGGATGCAGTGACCGCTCACGTCAGCACTGCTGCTGAGAAGTCGCTTGTCAAACCATGCCTTACAGCCAGAAGCATCCTAACTCCCCCCGTTGGGCTTTCTTAGTGCCTTGGTGGGCCTGAAGACCTCCAGGACAGAGGAACAGCCCACCCTCCCCTAATCTCACTCAATGGGAGATTTTTACAGCCATGCTAAGAAGGTCGGTATGGTGCATGAACCTGCCCTGCAAACCGAGTCCCTGCTATCGCTGGTTATTTGGCAGCTTCTGTGTGTGCGAGCTTTTCCCGGGAATGCTCAGCAGGTCTGCTCCCACTCTGGGAAACTCGCTGTCTCTACAGCTGAACTCACTGGCTTTCCTCAGCCCTTTGTGCTTCTGAAATCAATGGGGAGGATAAGCCCGGGAAGTGCTGAGCCCTGCAGGAAAGCCCATTAGAACAGATAAGGAGGAGCAGGGATTGCTGCCTCCAGTGAGGCAAGTCCTTCTCCCGGCTGGAGGTGGGGGCACCCGGTTCACTTTATGGGTCTGTCTGACGAAGCTGGAGTAAGGAGAGGCTGATCTCGTCAGTCTGGATTCCAGTCATTTTTTGCTGGTGTAAACTGGGAGACCCCCCCCTCCCCAAGGCTGTGGGAGAAGTCTGGAGAAGAAGGTGGGAGGGTACAACGAATACCAGCCATCTCATCGCAGTCTGCCCGGTGGGACACCTGCAACGGGCCATGGATCAGGCCCACACTGCGACCCATGAGCAGGTAACTCACGCCTCAAGGCTGGGGCTGTGCTCGCGCTCTGGTGGGAGAGGGGTCTTCCTTGCCGGTGGGGACACTGCTGCCCCTGAAAGACTTTTTTCCAGGAGGCAGGGTCTGGAGCCGTGTCTCACCAGGGCAATGGTTCCGTGCAGCTGGTTGGCGATCCTCTGGGATGCCTGCGGCAGAGGGGAGAAAGTCCAGGTGAGCCGTTCTGCTGTGCACCCCGGGCAGTGAGCGGCTAAGGGCAGCCCTGCCGAGCAGAGATGCAGCTCTTCACCAGCGTGAACAAGACAGACAACTCCTAAGTGCTCTGTTTGATACAATTCTGGTCAACAGCTCAAGCATATTTTTATTGGTTTTCCCAGGAAATTTCCCCTTCATGTTTTCTAGAGGGATCTACAGTACTCTTTATTTTCTGGCTGCACTGATTTGTAGCCCAGGAGGTCTTGTGCCTCCTCTCAAGTCAAGCCAAGCCATAATTCAGTGGCTTAACCAAGATAAGACCCTGCAAATTCCCTGACCCCTAGTCAGGCCGCTAGACTTTATTCATGCAAGCTCCTGGCACGCACTGATTTGATGGGTGTATTTCCAGTGGAGTACCTGGCTGTGAGGCCAGGACATCATCATCTCCACCTGCTGTCATGAAAAGCTCACCACATGTTCTGACTTGACTTTCCCCTGCCCACCTGGAGATGTCACCAACCCTTCCTGTGATCCCTATTAATTATACTCACAGCCTGCCCGCAGCCTTACCAAAACCCCTTTTCACCTGCTCTTTCAAGTTTTCTGTGGAGTTCAGGTAAGCGAAGCCTGTGCCAAAACAGAAGCATCTATGTGGGTGTGTACGTGGGCTTGAGTTCCCACTACCAGGAGCAGGGCTCCAGGTCCTGCCGTGTCATGTCCCAGTGCCCAGTATCACCATATCACTCAGCATCCCTTGGCTGACACATACTCTCTATGTTTTAAAGGCATGGCAGGCTTGCATCAATGCACAAAATGGCAACCACTGAATGCCAGGCCCTCTGAAAATACCAATATTCATTATGCTGCAGATGGAGAGACATCTGCAATGCTCTTGGGCAGGGCTGCTGTGGTGTATTTGTTCTCAGTACCCACAAATCCCACAGTTTACATGTTCTCCAGGCTTTTCCAACACTCACAATGCTCCAGCTTCTTGCTTGCCCAGATAATGGAGAGCTGACCCTATAACTCAGGAGAAGCTACACTGACATGTGGCTCAGCACAATCTCCCCAGGTCCTTCACTCCTCAGAGCTTTCCCCAGCAAGACATCTGAGAGAGGAACCAGAGAGATGGGCAGAGGACTCAAGGATGCTAGGCGTGTTGTCATGGAGGTTAAGCACAGGAGCAAAGAAAGATGTGCACGCTCACAGCGGGGACGGGAGCCTGTGCCAAACTCTGAATGCTTTGCTTGCAGTGAGTGGCAATTTCTGCAGAGAGGATGCATCTGGCATTTGGTAGGTGCCCTCCTTGGCTCTGGCAATAGCAAATTGCCCAAGTCCGGCTAATTATTTTACCCCCTAAGTGCCTCCTACTCATTCTCTATCCTAGTCCACCCCCCTTGATCCAGTTCAGATGACCACAGTGGTGGGGAGAAGGCCTGAGGGTATCAGGCTACCTCTGGCAACTCACAATTTCTGCGAGGCTGACTTCCTGGAGGACAGTGCCCGGGGAAGTCCTTCTGCTTGGAGAGCTTCTCTGTCCTGCAGGCTTTTCTGCAAAAAAAGACACAACCAGCCACCGTGACGGTCCTGCAGAGCTGTTGCAGGCTGCCTTGCCCTGCCCTGCCCTGCCACATGCCGGAGTCTTGCAGCCTCCCGAGGACGCCGCTGGCTGGCACCAACCACCTCCTGTTGAGGATTTTGAGCCAAAATTTCCGTCTGGCTCAAGCCACCACCTGAAACGTACCCTCCATTGCATGTGTGGGTGGCAGCATGGCAACAACATGGTCTCTGCATGAAATGGGTGTCGGGTCCACACCTGCACAGCACTCATCTTACAGTAAGGGCACCCAAGCACTCTTTTGCTCTAATGCGTACCAGCTTGTTTCTCCCTTGACATGCAGTTCCCCCCCCCAGCAGCTATTCTGGCCATGGCAATGTCCATTTGAGCTGCCAACAGCTTGGTCTTTGCTCTTGAGACCCTTTCCCAGAGCAGCTTTGCACCACGGCTCAGTCGCTCTTCCTGTCCCCAGGTCCCTCGAGGGCGGTGGGAGCCAGCAGCACCCACCTTCTCCCAGCTCAAGGCCTGGCACATCATGGTGGGCTTCTTCGGCTCCCCTGTGAGCTGCTTGCTCGCTGCCGGCGTTCCTGCTTGCTGGGGACAGTAAAGCCAAGGGGGAGCTGGGGGTGGAGCCGCTTTCTCTGGAGGCGACTCCTGGGGGCTTTGTCTTCTCCCTGTTGAAAACAGAAGGACACAAATGAATGAGAAGGGGCAGGAGAAGGAAATCACCAGTTTGAGAGCCACTGTGCTGGGAGTTCTAAGTTATAGAGCCCGATATATAAATATACATATTTATACATATATATGATTCTATGTTTGTGGATATACCGGCTCCTCAGACTCACCTCCTTCCATTGCAGCTTATTGCTAGCTCAGCTGCAGTCTGGAGCATGGGACAGAGCCAGCACAACAGCTCAAGGTCTGATTTCCCCACTTGCCTGTGGGTAATGTCGCAGGAAGCCACGACGTTGGGTAAGCCAAAACCCAACTGTGGCTATTGCAAAAGCTCTGTGAGAACCTGTACGTCCCTGGCTGGGCTTTCAGCCTGATGCAGGGGTGGATTCAGCACGGGGATGTGGCAGGTGTCCCCCTTCACCATATCGAGCTGGTGGGGCTGATGCTCTCGGTCACTACGAGGGAGTCACTGAGTCTCGGAGACCCATGCTTATGTCATGAACAAAGTGCTGGCTGGCCCCTGATGCCGAGACATGGGTGTTTGGCTGGAAATCTTCCTATCCAGCAGCCCAGGGAAGAACAGAGCAGAGCAGGAGTGCTTGGTGCTCAGCAAACCCAGCCCGACCTACAGCTCTGTAACTCCTCAGGCCTTGGGAAGCGTTGGGGAGTAAAAGCGAGTTTCTCTTTAAGTGGATGGAGCTTCTGTGCTCCAAAGAAAACACATTTCTAAACTAATCCCTCAGTGCTAATTCCTCTGGACTTTAAACCCTTGAGGAATGAGCTGACTTGTATATATTGGCCAGCCTGGCAGGTTACTTGGCTTTCAGCACAGCGCTCTGCTGGGATATGAACCTGTTGGTGCAGATCGCTTCTCCCTCTCAACCCTGTCTCAGTCCTTTGTGTGTCACTCTCCTTCCCCAAAACACAACCTGCTTCCTGCAGACCCTCTCTGGCTGCTGCAGGAGGGGAGCTGGTGCCATGGAAAAGCCATGGAAGCCCAGGCTGAGGTCCGTGGCCAAGGTGAGCAGCCCAGGGCTTTGCTTCCCATGAGCAGTCCCCCATGGGGAGTTGTTGAATACCCTTGTTACCCAAAAACTGAATCCTTGGATGCTGGTGAACAGGGGAGTGAGAAGAGGTCAACAAGGACTTAGAGACTGTTACGGGTGTTTCAGTGTCTAACATCTACAGGAATCTGTAGGAGTTAGATGCTAAAATACCCCTGAGGATACTGCGGTCTGGACGTAGCCCTGCTCAGCTGCGCGGATACCTCTGTCCTTACCAACACCCCCCATAATGAATGAAATCCAGGAAAGCACTTACTCCAGGCTCCGGAGCCTCTTCAGTTCTTCCTTGAGAGCTTTGTTCTCTTCCCTCAGGCGGTTCGTCTCGTTAGCTGCAGGGACACAAGTTGTGCCGTGGATTCAGGCATCGCAAGGAGAGAGCTTGATGCTCCTCGCAGCTTGCTGGGGTGCATGGGGGAGGAGGAGGGAATGGCACCAAGTTTCGGAGAGATGCCAAATTTCCTTCCTTCTCTGAAAACACGCTGGGGGCTAAGGGATAAAAGGGAGCAACTCTCTGACTCAGGTTTGGTCAGGATTGGAGTCTGCTTGCAGCCCATCCAGCTCGGGGGGAGAGCGTGATCCAGACGGGATGGTGGCTGCAGCACGGTGGGATGGACCCAGCCGGCACCCTGCCTGCGAGCACCACGGCTGCCTCCGAAGAGCGGGTGCTGTGCTAGGGGAAGGGCTGGGGGCCTCGAGTGGGATCGGATGAAGGCCGGAGGGAGCCGTGAGTACCCAGCAGCCAGGCTGCGAGTACCCTGCCGCAGTGAGGAGGCAGCGAGCATGAGCAGGCAGGCTCCCAGGCAGGGTGGGCTGCCGCCTCGGCTTGTTCCTGCTCAAAAGCAGCACTCAGGGAGCAATGGCGTAACAGGGGAGATAAACCAAGGGCTGCCGGCACCTCTCCATCCCTCCTAATGCCTCATCTCCTTTACCGCCACGACCCTCCCTGGGCCAGCCAGATCCCCAGGGAAAAACACCCCATGCCTGAGCGGTGCTGGGAGCTCTGCCAAAGGCTCGGGAGAAGATCCATCACACGTGTTGCTTGATTACCATTTACCCGTGCTGAGCTGCTGCTGTGACTTTCCTGTCTTTGCCAGAGTGTTGCTTCTGCAGTGCCAAATGCATCTTTTTTCCAGGCAGCTGACATGGCCTGGCCAGCTCGGGGCTGCTCTCGGCGTGAGCATCTCTCATTTTTCTGGAGGTGTGGAGGGCTGCAACCCCCCAGCTCTGCCACTTTGTGTGAGTGGTTATCTCTGCTTGCAGGGGGACGTGGGCTGCCATCCGCAGTCCTGGTCAGATCTGATTTTTCAAGGCCCCCACACTTGCATCGGCTCCCTCCCTTCTCCCCATCCCCAAACCCCTCCTGGGTGCCCGGTCACCGGGGGGCAGCTGACGTGCAAATATCTGTGAGAGGCATTAACTGAGCAAAGACGCAGCCAGCCGAAGCCAAGCTTACAACAGGCGGTGGTACGTACTGAGGATGAAGATGTGCTGCAGGCTCTGGAAATGGGAGGTCTCATATTCATTCTGCTTCTTTTTCGCCAGCTCTTGGGTGACCATGCATCTGTCGCAGAGACCCGCTCGCAGCCTGGAGGAAAACCCACGGCCGGCAGCTTGTTACCACACGGTTCCCATGGGGGAAATAAGCTCCTGCCCTCCCCATGGAGAAGAGTAAGCACCCAGTCCATCACCCAGAATTGGTGAGAGGGGTTATCACCCATGCACCCCAGCCCTGGCCCTTCCACCACCCCAGATCCAGTCCCACCACCATCAGCTTCGGAAAGCTCCTCTGCGTGTGTCCAGGCTCCCACAGCTCTCCCAGCAGCCCAGTATGAGCAAAAAAGAGGTTCATGTGCTACACCCCACTTCTGGGAAGACAGCAAACCCCAAACTCTCCCCCTAGGAGGGTGCACTCGCTGCCACCGAACAGCACCCTATTGAAAAATAAATCTTACCTGTTTTCTAACACCTTCACATTTTCTTTAAGGGCCTTCTGTTGTTCCCTTAACTGGTGATTTTTAGCAAACAACTCTTCAATTCTCTGAGCATCACTAATTGAAGAAACAGAACAAAGAAAAGAGGTTTATTAGATTTCTCCCCAAAATCTGTGCCTTTATCTGCAGCACCCTGTCAAGGGGAAGGATTTCTGCCCTGAGCCCGCCGTGCTGCTCACACTGGTATGGCTGAATTGCTTTTGCTTGTGTGGCAGGAAGGGAAACAAATGTGTTAGAGCCCAGACGCTGCCCTGTGACACCTGCCCTTGGAGTTAGCAGATTGCTTCCTGCCGTTTTATTGCTTCCCAAGAAAGCAAGTGCCTGCCGGCATGAGCATCACTTGCCAGGGGGAAGGTAAACTGGAGGTGGGCTGGGATCACCCCAAGCCCTGCCTGTGCTGGGGACTTGCACGGTGAAAGTCACCAAAAGGTTTAAATTTGGCAGAGCAAGAAAGGCAGACTGGGCTCTCTAAATCAGGCAGCCTCGGAGGAGTGCCTGGGAGGTCTGAAAATGAAGTGGTGTAACCTCCCCTCCGCCCCCTGTCCCGCCGCGACGTGGGTAGAGCAGACGTGGTGTTGCTCACCGGCACTTCTCCGTTGTCAGCTCCGTCAGCTTGTTTTGCAGACCTGGAATAATTAACAGAGACGGAGAGGTGGGTATTTATTGCCAATTCCCTGGCACTTCGGAAACAAAACGCAATGGTGGAACTTCAGGAGGGTGCCTGGCTTTGCAGAAACCTCATCAATTTACAAACCTTATTTCCAAGAAGGAATAACACATTGCCTGCGTTAAACAATATCACAGTTTAATATAGCTGGAAAAGTTGTACAGAACGTGAGCACATTTTGTGTATTTCCACTCTTTAATGAGTTTGCATTTCCCCCCCACCCCCAAAAAGTCTGTTTCAGTTTTGTTTCTACTTATTTCTCATTACAGCACGCATTTCCCAGGTGGGCAGTATTTTATACCTCTCAGGGCTGCAAAGCATCTTGGAGGATATTTACAGCTCAACAAGAATGGCTTTCATTGACGGATCTGCAGACGTTACATCTTGTCAAACCCATTTCATGCAAATTAGATGTAAACATGTGGTTTAAATTGCTCAACAGTTTCCTCTAACTCTCACACATCTTGGAATTACACAAGAGCAGAATGAATTCATAAGCCAGAATCCTCCAAAAGCGCTGTCGTTTTGTTCATCATATCGATACTGGGAATTATTCTAATAGGAAAACAATTGGATTTGGCATTTGGTTGCTTAACCTAATGGTTCTTATTTTAATAATGTATGACCCCAGGAATAATTTATTCCCTAGAGGAACAGACTATCTAACCTGCGTCTAAGGTTTTCTTAAACAGAGCCTCACAATCCTGCTGCTTCAGTCTTATAGATTATTGCATCTTTCCACTTTCCCTTTGATCCCTCAGTAACCAAATACACTCCAATCCATGTCGCTCGGAGAAGATGCCCAGTGGGTGTGCGTGTCACTTCTGCAAACCTCCCAATTCACCTTTATCACAGACCACGGCAGCAGGAGCAGGAAAGGAGCCAAATCCCCCGTGATTAATGTTTGAAGCAAGTGGGATTCCTGCAGGTGGGATGTCTCCAGGGATATCGGATGCAGGAACACCCTCTCTTCTGCTCCTCCTCATCGTCCAAAAAGTTACTGATTTTCTCAGTAAACCTTGTTCTCCACTGGGGTAAGATGGATAAACCATACCAAGGTGCTATCAGATGGTGTGGTCCCCTGAGGGCCAGGCTGTGACCCTGCGTCCCCATCCATCCCCGTGGGTGATGCTTGCTGAGCCCTAATTCCCAAAGCTCCCTAATCCACACCTGCTCTTCCTCCCTTCAGGTTATTTCAAACCAAACAGATCAAGGTAGCATCACAAGGAAACGGACCTCTGTTAGTTTTTAATAAGACTTCTCATGTCTCCTTACCTTGGACCTCTTTCTCATGGATTTCCTTGAGCTTATTCAGGAACTCTGCAAAACTCTCCGTGGTCATGTTCAGGGCTGTGCCACACACCGGGCTGCTTCCAGCGCAAGGATGTCCTTTCGTTTCAAATTATTCAGGTTTCAGCCTAAAAGAGAAACAAAAAGTCCAATAAAAGAGAAGTGTCTTGTGTGTGTGGTGTTCTGGAAAGTCTTGAAAACAGGACAAAGCCCAAATCTAGAAAGTGAAATAATTTGCTAAACCACAGACATGCACAAAGCAGCAGGCTCATCCGGGGAGGCATTTTCAGACCTGTTCACCCTGCCTCAGCCCCAGGCTGGGGGCACAGGCAAAGCAGAGAACGATGGCTTGGAAAATGGGAGAACTGAAAGCCCAGCTGAAAAATCAGATTTTTCCTCTATTTTTTGAGCTGTTTAAATCACTTTTCTCTGGGGTGAGACGGGGCAGGGTATCTTCTTGAGGAAGGGATTGCAGGGCTCGTGTCGGGACCGCACTGCTGGGGACTGATGATGGGAAAACTCGTGGCAGCTTTGGTGCTCGAGCCTGATGGACCCATCTCCTGCTGGGACCTGAGATGCTCCCGTGCATCCCTTCTCCCTCTGGCACCACGCACAGCTTCTACGGAGGCAACACGTACCACTCGGCCGCCCTGCTGTCATCGCCAGGCTCCCCACATGCCCTTGCTGGCTGCAGCCTCTTCAAACCCTTGGGAGACACCAAACTGAGTGTTACTCACCCCATTTTACAGAGAAACCTGGAGAGGTGATGCACAGAGCCAAGCCCCGCAGGAAGCCTGGTGTGTGCAGAGCACCCGTGGGGCTGAATGTGAGCTGGGGCACCCCTGGGTGCGCTGGCTGTCCCCAGCCCCTCCGTACCGGGAGCAGTGTCCCAGCTCCTGCCCCAGGCTCATGTCTCCGCTCAGCCTGCCCCTGCCTCAGTTTCCCCATTGATGTTATGGGGTTATTAATGCTTCATCATGCTGAGTGCTATCACTTAGTGTTGGCAGTAGCATTCTGTAATCCCCAAGAACAGATGAAGTGCTCTGCTTTCTAAAAAAACCTTGCTTTTTCCTTTTTTGGTTGAAAGCTCCCCCAAAAAAACGGGGAGGTGGAGAGCAGCCCACACCACCCCCAGCTCAGTAAGCTGGGAAAGGCAGGAGGTAAACAAACAGCCTGAAAGTAAAGTGGGTGTTTTTAAAGAATTTTTCCCTAATTTTAAGAATTTTGCACTAATCCCAGTGACCATAAATTTTGAAATTACTAGCAGGGATGGAAAGCAGAAACTTTGGAGATGAGAAAGTCATTACATCAGTGATGACCTCATTTCTCCCTGGGATGGTGATGTTGGGATAAACTCTTTCCTTTCCATCAGCCAAAGCCTCGGGGAGTCTTCGATCCCCTGGAATAGCTGTGGGCCCAGGTCCCTCCTGGACCATGGTGGTACCAGGGAAGGGCGTGTGTCTGAGCATCCCTGCAGAGCATCGTGGAAGGTCCCCCGGGGTTTGGGCAGGAGGGGTGTGCAACCTCCCTGCCTCCCTGAGCAGGTCAGCAAAGCCCTGCTCACCCTGGGGTGTCCTCCAGGACCACCAGAACCACGCTGGGAGAAGAGGGACTTCCACATGAGGGCATTCAGCATTGCCACATGGGAGCTTCTCCCCTAAAAGTCACGCCGGGTTACTGAGTCACGGACGGTAATCCCATTCCCGACGAAGCACCTGGGCACTCAGCCTTCAACCATGCAGAGATGACCAGGGAGAAAACCTCCTCTCTGTTGTTTGAAGGTGAAAGGCTGGGCTGGGACCTGGGTTTTGCAGCCCCATGGTGGCATGGGGAGGTTTCCGCCAGGCTCCGGCACGCTCCCAGCCCGGCTCCCTGCCGGCAGCCCGCCTGTGCCTTTATCTGCATGCAGAGCAGAGGTGTGCCGGATCGCCTGCATATGCAAGATGTGGGCACGCAGAGCTGGAAGAAGAAACTTTCCCCTAAAGCATCTGATTTTCAAAAGAAATGAGGCACGCGCCAGCGAGCACAAGCAGGGAGCTTGGCTTGTGTGCTCTCAGCACGCTTGGATCAGTGAAACAGCTTCCTTGCCTTTTGTGCAAACAAGCAGAGATCTCGCTGTCTGGAGAAACAATTAAAAAAAATATTCATTGCTCCCACTTCCCTGGGCAGAACCCACCCTTTCCCAGGGCTGGGTGATCTCTCCCAGCAAGTAAAAGCCACCCGAGGCACGGTGCGGCTTGTCGCGGCTCGTGCAGCTCGGGATCGGCTGCCGTGAAATGGGATTGGGAACTGATGTCTGCTGCTCAGCCCCAAGAGCCATAGCTGAATAATGAGCTAGGGGAAGTAATACCCGGCTCTACTCCAAAAAAGAAAAAAAACCCCAACCCCCTGATGTTAATGGGAAGCACTTCCCGGGATCGCCAAGTCCTAAATTCGGCTCTGCCCCAGGCAAAGCACCTCCCCGGGGCTGAAGGGAGGTTGTGAGACCCACCGCTGCTGTTGCGGGGCTGAAACCCTGAGTGCCGGCTGGGAAGGCTTTGAAGTGCTCAGGCACTAATTCCCGTTGCATTCCCCAGTGCTGCAAACTGGGAGCAGAGCTGGTGGCGGCCGCGTGGGCTTCCTATGGTGCTCGCTGGTGCCAGATCAGCCCCTGCCCACCCTGGCGCTGCCCTCTCGCCAAGGCTGGTGTCTTGCAGGGCTAAACACTACGGGGCTCCAGCTGGGTCATCCCGGGAAGGCGACATCCAGGCTGGGGCTCGTGCCAGCCCGCGGTTTGGGGAGGCAGGGCTGGGCTTGGATGTGGTGGGAGGCGGAGGGTGCGGGGGCAGCCCAGGTGCTCAGCGTCGGATCCGGATCCCTGCTGCTGTGACTCAGTGCTGCGGGCACAGCCCGGCAGATCAGGATTTGGGGCTGGGGTGTGGGCAGCAGCTTCGGCTTCCGTGCACAGCTGCAGTGCCACCAGGGCTGACTTTCTTTTCCTCAGAGCCCCCAGGTCAGCAGGGATCTGTGACCTGCTGGGGATTCGATCAGTGGGGAAAAGCTATTGCCATTTTTGATGCTCTTTGAGATGCCAGCATCCATCCCTGCCTGCAGATGGGACTGCCACTCTGCAGCAAACCTGGTGAGGACTTTGGGTCTCTGGTCTGTGCACACACACGGTTACACAGATGTTGCACGAATGTTGCCCCCTGTGTATCTGTATCCAGGATTCGGCCTTTTGCTGCAGCAGAGCAACCCCGCAGACAGCCCAGGCTCTCTGAGGGGTTTGGCTTTGCTACCTTCTCCCCTGGTGTGGACTGGCCAAAGCGCGAAGCTGCAGCCCCCGCTCCTCCGCCGAGAGGATTTATTGAGGGAGATTTATTGATGAAGACCAGACCACAGAGTCCTGCAGCCTAGAGCTCACTCCCTGAGACAGGGATTTCATTTACAGCCCTGAGCCCTTTCCAGAGCTGTCACTGTAATATACACCCGGAGGTGCTGGATGCGGCCCCACAGCAGGGCTAGGAGCAGCCCTTTGACGTGCCGGTGGGCCCAGGCGTATTTCAAAGTGATGGGTGCCCTCTGCAAACAGAGCCCCAGTGTTGGGGACCAAAGGCAAACTCCTCATCCAGCCCCTAAATCTGGTCGGTTTGGAAAATCCAAGCCCCCAGGGCAGGGCTGTTGCTGATGGCTGTAGCTTTGCTCACCTGCTCTCCACGTCCCTCGATGCTCAGCTCAGGGCGGGACACGGGGTCCAGGTCGGGGCACAGGGTCCCTGGCACGTCAGCTCTCACACATGGGGCTAGGGCAGCCCCCGGCATCGCCTGGGTACCGATGGCATCGCTCTTTGGGGCGGGATGCTCCTGGCTGTGGCTGGGGAAAGGAAAAGCGGCAGGGAGGTTATTTCCTAGCCCATGCCAGGGGGCTTGGGAAGGGATGGACTCGGACAGTTGGCTCTGACAGCACAGCCGTCCCCCATTCCCTGGTCCCTGGGGGGTTTCTGGCCTCTCGTTACCACCCCTGGTGCTGCCGGTCACGCTTGCATAGAGCCACAGCACATCCTCACCCTCAGCACTGTTTCCTTTTAGAAGCATAAAGCAGCTCATTAGCTAAATGAGCTTAAGATGTTAAAAAAAAAAAGGCAGGATTCTGAAGTTTTGACACTGTCAGATCAGTGAAGCTTAATGGATTTACAACCAGATATTTCCCCATCAGCAACGCTGGAGTTGTTCAGCTTCAGGCTGGATTTATGTAATATACCTTTTGCTGGGCGATTGCCGGGCAGGGCTGCTTTCACCAGCCAAACTTTCTTTTCTTGGCTACCCTACTATGTTCCTCATCTAATTTTAGAATGGTAAATTGAATTTATACCCAGAAAAGCTGCCTGAACACTCATGGAAAATCTGCATTGCCAGGAGTATTTTGCAGGCCAGCGTGAAGCTGATCCTCTTTGCTGATGTACTGTGCATTTGGCAGATTGGAGAGGGCTGCTTTCACCAGCCAAACTTTCTTTTCTTGGCTACCCTACTATGTTCCTCATCTAATTTTAGAATGGTAAATTGAATTTATACCCAGAAAAGCTGCCTGAACACTCATGGAAAATCTGCATTGCCAGGAGTATTTTGCAGGCCAGCGTGAAGCTGATCCTCTTTGCTGATGTACTGTGCATTTGGCAGATTGGAGATGTGTGTGTGGGTTTTTTTTTTTTTTCCTGGGCCTTTATTTATTTGTATGATTTAACGGGGCAGGCTGGTCTCGGACAGTTGGCTCTGACAGCACAGCCGTCCCCCATTCCCTGGTCCCTGGGGGGTTTCTGGCCTCTCGTTACCACCCCTGGTGCTGCCGGTCACGCTTGCATAGAGCCACAGCACATCCTCACCCTCAGCACTGTTTCCTTTTAGAAGCATAAAGCAGCTCATTAGCTAAATGAGCTTAAGATGTTAAAAAAAAAATGGCAGGATTCTGAAGTTTTGACACTGTCAGATCAGTGAAGCTTAATGGATTTACAACCAGATATTTCCCCATCAGCAACGCTGGAGTTGTTCAGCTTCAGGCTGGATTTATGTAATATAC